GCCGACTGCTGCTCGCTCGCCACGCGCTTCACCACGCCGAGCACCTCTCCGGAGTGGAAAACAACGATAAACGAGCACCTCAAGGGCACAACGATCCGTTACCATCTCGTCGAGTCCAGCACGGTCAGGCATCGGGCTGCGCACGGCGGGGCTTGCCTCAACAGGCCCCGCTAGCAATCCGGAGCGGTCTCAACACCCCGACTTTGGGGCGCGGAGCGCTCCCGGGTGTTAAGACCGTTCTGGACGACACGGGGGCGCCTGGTAAAGCCAGCCGGGAGTACCTGGGGGGCTGTCTGTGCGTAACCTCGACGCGTTCACCAAGTACATCGATCCACTACCATCTCGTCGATTTCAGCTGCCCGGGGAGGGCAGCAGAACTCCGGGCTTCTTGAAAAGCGTGGGGGCGTACCCCCCCGACGGGGGTCAACCTCGCATCGTCGTCGCGACGCGACGGGTGTCAGAACGCCTTCGGTGCGCGGTGGCTGCCCGCGACGGGGGTCGATGTGGGGCTGTCGGCGGGGATGACGCCCCCGCCCGACGTTTGTTAAGAAACTCGGAGTGCCCGTGCGAACGGCGGATGTCCGGCGAGATCAGCGGGATGGCGAGATGCCAACCTGCGCTCCCCGAGCCATCCCCTGCGGGCCACGGCGGATCGGCGGCGGGGTCAGCCCCAGATCCCCCTCAGCCAAGACCCGCATTGGGGGAGCAGGTAGTCAGTCCTTCGCTCACTGTGGCCTCTAGCGAAGCTTCCTGGGGGAGGGGGAGAAGGACGAGGCAGGAGGAGTGACCGAGATGGGGAGGAGAAGGAAGAGGAGGAGGGAGCGGAGGGAGGTGGCTAAGGATGAGGGCCATGATGCTGATGATGCGAATGATACTGGTGATGATGTTGATGATGATGCTGATGATGATGATGATGATGATGATGATGGTGGTGGTGGTGGTGACGATGCAGGTTGTGATGACGCCGAAGGAGTGGAGGACGAAGACGGGAATAATGACACGGATGATTATGAGGATCGACTATGAAGCCAATGAGGAGCAAGAGGAAGAGGAGTAAGAAGAGTGATGGGTCATGGCAATTGCCCTCCCAACGGTTCTGGGTGGGGCAGGCCGTGCCCCGAAAAAGCCTGGAGTGCACCTGGGCTAGCTCTGGAAGTCTGCACCTTTGCGCATCATCGTCTGTGTCTCGGCCTGCAAACGTTCCAAAACCCATACAAGCGATAGGAAGCTTGCACCAACGACTCCTGCATTTGCTGATTCCGCGCGTTGATCCTGCATTCAGCCACGCGGTCTTGGTTGACCGCAGTCGCCAAACGCATCGTGATGGGCGCTATAGCCACATCGCGTTGGGAAAGTTACATAAGTCAAATACATACTAGTCAGTGCAAGCGGCCAGCCATCACGCCTTGTAGGAGAAACATGATATGTTCGGTGGATCCCTGTTCGGCTGGCCGAAGAGATGGTGACATTTCAAATATGCAACCGCCAACGATGCGTCGATGTTTTACAATCCGCGCGGCAGGGATGGCACTGCAGTCCGGCGGCGGGACAAGTTGGTCTTATGGCCAACGGCCAGCGCGCGTCAGAGGCCCGAGTACGCACCCTTCCTCTGGTAAACAGTCTCGCGCACTTGCTTAATCTGCGCTTTCTGCGTTTTCAACAACCTCTTGAGTCTAACAGTCCAGGCAAATCTTGTCTACGGAAATGCGAGGGCTCGGACAAGCTGCACCGATGTTTACAATCCGCGCGACAGGGATGGCACTTCAGTTCGGCGGTGGGACAAATTGGCCTCATGGCCAACGGTCAACGCGCGTAAGAGGCCCGGGTGCACACCCTTCCTCTGGTAAACAACCTCGAGCACTTTCTGAATCTGCGCTTTCTGCGTTTTCAACAACCTCTTGAGTCTGACCGTCCAGGCCGTCTTGGCTACGGAGATGCGCGGGCTCGGACAGGCATGGCCCCAACAACAGCTTCCTTGGAAACTCGCAACAAAAAGTAGATAATAAGTGCACGCCCATCGGCGAGATGAGTTGTCGCGCGGGCGTGCTGAGCGCTCGCGCGCGCGAGATCCCAAGGCGCCGCCATGGCCGCAAAATGGCTCCAGGAGGGCCTGAAACCAAATGCGATAACGTCCAGCCGACCCTGGGATGACGCCACACCAACACGATCCCGCCATGGATTCTAGACCGTCTCAGGCCGACCCGAAGATGACCAAAGCATGGAGCCACGAGTGACGCCGAGATGGCCCGATGGCAACAAGACGGATCCACGCGCGCCCAGGGTGCCCAGAATGGACGCGCGACGGCTGCGCGATCCAATCATGATCTCAAGATGACCTCAAGACGACCCTGACACGCCAAGAATGCGACTACGTCGAGGCCCAAACTTACTTCGAGCCGATCCTAGCATGGCGGGATCCGTGAACGACCCGGGGTGTGTTTACCCTATTTTTCTTGCGTGGGGTTTTAGTCTGACTGAATTAAAACTATTATATTAAAGGGAAGTAAGTTAGGCGGGATCCCGCCGGGCCCACGGCAGAAGACTGCCCACGGCAGAAGACTGCATTGATAGGCTTCTACGGGGGGGGGCTCGGACGGGGCGTCATTCACTCCCGCTGTCTTCCGCAACCCTTCCGACGGCCTTCCGCCGTCTTCCGCCTCGTTTTACTTCAGTCGGCTTCCGCGAGCGAACGATGTGACCAAAATTAAAGGAACTTTTTTGGGGGCCGATGTATGGGTCTGCATCCTTATGGCCCAGCAGGCTGGGATGCAGCACACCTCATGGCTTTGCTACACGTCGGCTCCCGCCCTCTATCGGAAACAAGCACGGTTCAACTCCAGTCTGGTAACCGCCTACTGCCTGAGCTCTCTTCGAGCGGTCTGGTGGCATGGCGAGCTACGAGAACCCTGAACGCAAAACTGCTGCCACCTCCTAGGAGGACAATGCTCACCTCCGCCGGCCTTCCGCCAGCGGAGCCGCCCTCGCTTCACTCTCGCCACGGTGGGACGACGAAATGTTGCAAGTTGCTCCTGACCGCGTGCGGCTGCACCTACATTGCGGCGCCACCTCGACGAACAATCCCCGCCCCCTACATCTCAATGTTGGCACCAAGCGAACCCCCCAAGTCCGGGTGGACAAAATAATGCAAGTCAACATTGAAATGTGGGGGTGGGGGGGTCCTCAGAGATCGATGGAATCTGATCCTAGTTGGCACGCTGTTTATCATAATGCTCAGATAACTTGCGGTATGTTGTCCACCGACTGCAGCTTCCGCCGATCTTCTGCCACCCTCCGCCAGGGAAGAGATGCCACCTCCTCCGAGCCTCGCAGGCGAGAGGCCCTCCCTGGAGCGCGCCACGCGTGTGACTGCACGGCCTGGAGGAGCCCACGGCGACCGAGGGCGAGCCGACCCCCATCGTGCCACGTGCGCCGCTCTCCCAAGGGTGCCTCGGGCACAAAGAGGCCTCGTCACGGTCCCAAGACCGCCCGGTGACAGACCGTCGGCTGGGACCTCCGGGGTCTCGACGCCAGCGGACGGCCCGTCAACGCACGTCTTCCCAGGCATCCGGCGCCTCGGCAGAGTCGAGCAGAGCGGCTCGGGATGGAGAGCACGTCTCGGGGAAGTAGGCGGTCGAAAGGTCGGGGGCCTGTCTCGAAACAGCCGAGACGCCGGATGTCTGGGCTTGGACCACTGACGCTGAGGGTCAACATCCGAATCCTGCATCGAGTGGGAATCACCATGCGCCCGCGTGCTCTGTGTTAATTACGTGTGGACCCCTGCCCTGCGTGCGCGACGGGTCGCTGCCATTCTGGCCGCTGCCAGAACCCAGCAGTCCAAGCCGACATTCGTGCACACTCACCTACGATCGTCTGGGCACGGCAGGTGAACGTCGCGACGACATCGGCCTTAGCTTCAGACCAGCGTGGATCGTTCAACCTTGGAACGACCGCGGCTTTCCGATAGCGCAGACCGTCCGACATCAGCCGGTTCCGGGCCTCTGCCGGCGTTCAGCCTTGAACGCCCGCGCTGGGGACGCCGCCGCGTCTACGCGGCGCGAGCCTGCCAGAACCACGCCCGCGAGGAGCTGCGGGGCTGCCCCGGGCATCGCTGCCCTGGCCTGCCTCGGCAACTTTACCCGGATACCAGATGACCGGATACTCCGCTCCTCCAACGGGTTAGCCCGGCGTAAACCCCGGCCACCAGTCGACTGTTTGCCAGGCAATATTTCACTGGAAGAGCTCCCGTCCGTTGCCCCTGTCGCTTGTGCATCCCGACTGCTAATCAGATCCATCTGGCCCTGGTGTGGGGGTGTCGGCTATACGTAAGAGTGATTCTGGGCAAGAGTGTCCTTTGATGTGCGGCATTTGGGAGGCCGCGGGGGGGCCAAACACAAGCACGCAAGACGCCACTGCCGCCTCGCGTTCTGCGATCGGGGACCCCAGTTGGCCCGCACCAAAAGTCACCGGCGAAAGGTCACTCCTCACTTCTAGTCGATTGGAATACCTCGAAGGCCGTCCCGGTCTTGATTCGGGCCGCTTTCAACGTCACTGCGTTGACATGTGGCAGGCCCCCGCCATGCCCGACCCCCGGAGCTTCCAGCAGGCGAGCCACGAGCACGAGGGCGAGGAACAGGGACAGGAGGAGCTGCAGGAGGACGCGCGACCAACTGGACGACGAGGGAGATCAGGAACGGGTGCTCCGAGGAGGAGCAGAACTCCGCCAGCGAAGGGGGCGAACGCGGGCGCCCGAGACCGAAAGGAGAGAAAGACTGGCCGGGTGCCAATACAAGGCTCAGCGCCAGCGCTCGTCGATAAGCAGGGGTGTACGTCGACGGTAGAAGGCAGGAAGGGGAGGAGGAGGAGGAGGAGGAGGAGGAGGAGGAGGAGGAGGAGGAGGAGGAGGAGGAGGAGGAGGAGGAGGAGGAGGAGGAGGAGTCCCGCAGGTGGGGCGGCATGCGCCAGGGGGGCGGCGCGAGGGGGGGGCGGGGAGGGGAATCGAACGGGCGCGAGAGAGAAGCGCCGTGCGCCTCCCGGCGGGGTGGGGGGCAGCCCGCATGGGAAGGGGGAGGCCGCCACCGTCGCATGCGATGGCGCGGCACCGAACGGGCGCAGCGCGGGGAAGCAGGAAGGGAGGGCAGGGCCCCGCGGACGGGGGCCTGCGTGAGGGGGGCGGCCGCAGGGGGAGGCGGCAGGCCCCGGCGGACCGGGAGGACAGGGCGCTGCCAGAGGGAGGGAACGCCGGCCTATCGCAGCAGAGGCAGGTGCGACAGGCCTGCAAGGTGCGCCTCCCGGCGGGGCGGGGGCAGCCCGCAGCGGCAGTTGTGTTTGTTTTTGTGCCTAGGCTGCCGACCCTCCGGATGCCAGATGCTATCGTGTGCGACTGGCGAAGACGTAAGGGGGTGACACAGTCGAGGTGCCTCATGCCATGAACGAGGAAGCTTGCCCTCAATATATACAGGCTGCTTTGCATACGCCACTGGAACAGACACTCTGTGTACGCCGGCTAATCCCAACACAATATGGCCACATCTTTAATGAATCAATCCCCGCGCGTCCTCACATGGCCCAATGCGGGAGACTGAGGCTCCAGAAGGCACCCTGCAGGCCCAACGTTCTGCACGCAGTGGCTATATCTTTGTAGTGGTCGATCACGAGGCGACCCGAGACTATCAAAACGCTCAACGCCACGCCACCCCTCAAATACAACGAACTTGCTACAAATCTGGGATTGCGGGAAGCTCGTTCCGCTTCCTGCGGGTCTGCTTCCCGGCAGTGCTGCAGGAATCGCCCGAAAGAGGCCATACCGCCAAGCACGATGGAAGTGCAGATCCCACCGACTGGCAGAAGAAAGGAATACCTCAAAGTGATCAGAGAGAGGCGGCTGAACATGTCCCAATGCAGTGGCGGTGCCCTACCCACGACCAACAAACGAATACATTTGACGATCACAGATTCTGGCAATGCCTCCCGTGCCCTGGCACATCGAGCTTCAGTGTCTTCGTAAGTGTCAGCAGCCCTAACGGCCTTCAGTAATAGAAACGTTGGTGCTCTGATACGCTCAGTCATAAGATTATAAGCCTCCAAATCCAACGCAAGCGCGAGCATGAGTAGACACTGCCACATCTCCCCAGGCACCTGCAACAATAATCTCGACCATGTTGCGTAGCTGACACACTGGTCGCCGATCCACTCGAGGCGGCCGACATGACGCTGGTCAGACAGCAGCAAGGACGCATGTGCTTTGCGAACTGACTCCAGCTTTGCCATTGAAGCGTCTGCTAATTGCATATCACCATCGGCGACTCCCTTGGCCGACAGCTTCTCCAGCTGCTCAATGACCTCTGAATGAAGTGCTCGATTTGGAACCAAAGACGAAGCCGCCAATGGCTCCATGCTGAGCGGGTCAACGCTTCGACGCCGAAGCCACTGCAGCAAGGCTGCTTGGTCATAAGTGTGACCACTGGGGGTTATGACAGCATACTCCATGATGCGGTGCGAGATCGGACATATCAACTGCGACGACACGAGCTCTTCCAACTCTGGCGCCAGCCCAGTCGGCTCGGTGGCAGCACTATCCATGGGGCCAGTTGAGCTCATTATGGTGGGGGCATTGGATAAGGAACCCTTCGATAATGCATCCAGGGTCTGGAGGCCGGTGGAACTCCAATCGAGGCTTGGCCATGGATATCACCGCCGCCTTCGTCAGATAAGGAATCCTCCAGGGTCTGCAACATCCTGGGCGCATTCCTTAACCAACGCCCCCACCGTATTTTCGCCCGTGAAACGGCAGGCTGCACCACTCAGAACATTTGCTGACAAGCCGAATGTGCTTGAGCCAACTACGGAAGGAGCCTTTAGAGCACACCTACCCGCGAAGCCCGGACAAGGGGGGACCCGCTCAGGGGAGGGACCGCCTCAAGGGAGGGGGCACCTGGGTCAAGGGGGGAAACATCTCAAGGGGCCCAGGGACACGCCAATAACTAAGCACAAGTCCCAGGTTCTCCCCTATACTTCTCCATGGTTCCTGTGTGTTCGTCTTCTTTCTTTCTTATTCCTGGGAATCGACAGTTCTTTGTGCCTCTGTATGTTTTTCCCTCCTGAACACCGACGTGGCGTTGACGATACATCAGCGATAGCTCGGCGTTGGGCACCGGGCCGCAAATCGTAACACCGCGCGCGTTTCTGGCCGGGGTGGGCCATCGGGCCCCGATCGGCGTCAATGGGCGACCGGGGGTCGATGCACCCCCCCCCCTGACCCCATCCCCCCACAATGATCCTCGTCGCCCGACTTTCGGGTCAGAAGTCGGGCCTCGCGGCCGTCTGGGGCGATCCGGACACCCCTGGAACGCAGTTGCTGGAAACCGTCCCGAAACTCGGAGTCCGTTTTCTCAAACTGCCGAGAATGGGGAAACCAAAAGGTACCGGTACTGCTGCTCCCCGGAAGAACTCTCCCGGGGCGCATTCTGACCAGAATGTCGAGGCGAATCCAGGGGCGGCGACGAGGGCCTCCCAGGAGACAGAGAACGGGGAAAAACGCGCGAAGAGGTCGCGGTATGGGTTCCTTCTTCCTCCTCTGAGAGAGCCGAAGAAAGCGCCCGAACATCTCGAACCTCGAATCAGGTCGGGCCTGTCACCCTACAGGGGGATCTTGGGCGAAAAATAGAAAGTACCCTAAAAATGCCCCCCAACTGCTCAAAAGCAGTACAACAATAGTCCCCAGACTATATTTTGTGACTATTTCTGCGTATCCCCCTGTAGAGGGACAGGCCCGACTTAAACCTTGAAACCTTCCTAAAACCTTCCCCAGGAAGGTTGTTGGAAGGTTTTCGGAAAAAAAACCTTCCTGGAACCTTCCTAAAACCTTCCTCAGGAAGGTTGTTGTAAGGTTTTTGGGGAAACCTTCCTAAAACCTTCCTGATATCTTCCTCAGGAAGGTTTTTGGAAGGTTTTGTTTTGAAAAAACCTTCCTGAAACCTTCCTAAAACCTTCCTCAGGATGGTTTCTGAAGCCTGAAGGCACCCCCCGCTGAGCCTGCGGTCGGGGACTTCGGCTTCGTGTGCCGCCTCGGCGGCCCCAGCGGCACACGCTGTGCCCTGCGAGCGGGCAGCGCTTCGCTGCGCTCCGCGGGGCGGTGGAGGCTCGGCAGAGCGCGGGACGCCGACGTCGGGGAAGGGGGCGGTGGGCAGCGCTAGGTCGGGCATGTGCTCCTGCAGGCAGACTCCGAAGAAGAGCAAGACACAAGCAAGACATGCTCAAACACAATTCGCCAGACGAGCACGACAAGTCGCACTTTCGGACCATTCTTGAACACTCCTCATGTGGGGAGGGACATGCCCGACTCAAGGGTAGCGTGCCGCACGCAGCTGGCATGCAATCTCTACTGCGGCATCCCCGCGCCAACCTCCATGGTCTGAGCGGGCTCCTGGCTCATCCCCCCCTCCCGCTCTGTTCCTCTTCGCCTTCGTGCCTCAGTTCGCTCCGGGCGCACCCCACCGCTTGCTGACCAGCGTCCGACCGTCTCCGACAACACCGGCGCCCGCGGACTTAACAAAAAGTGTCGCGCCGACGCGCGGTGGGCCAGAAGCGGCGGCGCGACACGCTAAGCCAACTTTCCAGACCCCATCCTCCCGCGGCGCTGCCCCCGCAGGAGGAGAGCCGCGGGCTGCTTCCGGGGCCGTCTGCGGCGCGGGCGCCTCGCGGCCGATGGCCGCCGAGATGCGCGCGGCGGAGCCGTCGTGGCTCCGGGCCAGGGACACCTCTGCGCGGAGGCCCGGGCGGCTGCTTCAACCCGCTGCCCCCTTCTCCTCCCTCGTCCTCCCTCCCTCCTCCTCCCTCCTTCTCCCTCCTCCTCCTCCTCCTCCTCCTCCTCCTCCTCCTCCTCCGAACTCCTCCATCACCCTCCTTCCTCCTCCTCCTCCTCCTTCTCCTCCTGCTTCCCCTCCCTCCTCCTCGTCCTTCTCCTCCTCCTCCCTATCCTTCCCCCTCCCTATCCTTCCCGCTGGGAGGAGCATTCGCCAACAAACTCGGGAGTGGCACTTCCCCCATTCGCGCCTCTGGCGGGTTGATGCGCTGGCTGCGAAGAGGTGGCGTCTCTGGAGCGGCGTGCGAGCCCAAGATGGGCGAAGCGGCGGGGCAGCTGCCAGCTTCGACGAGGCTCGGCGTCTCCGTGCGGCGGCAGACGTCGAGGACGTGTGTGTGTGTGGCTGTACGGAATGGTGAGCGTTGTTATATGTTGCGTTTCGACATTGGGCGGAAGAGGGGGGGAGGGGGGAGGGTCTGGCTCCGGACCTCTGCCTAGCGCGACTGTTTGCAAGAGTGCGGCCTCTGGGGGAGACTCCACCCGCTCGAGACAGGCGCCAAAAAACAGCCAAGATCTGCTCCACGGGGGGCGGGGGGTGCGAGGGCCCGCGCCGATCGGCAAGACAATGAATCAAAAAACGATCACATGGTGGGGCCTGGAATTAGTT